AAAATATCAGACTATGAAATATGGATACAGTACAGTTAACAGTTGGTTACTTGGCAGTTTTTAAACCACATGAACAAGTTACTTTATTAGATGAGTGATTCCTTCAGTTATGTTGACATGTTGTACAGGATAAAGTATTCCAGGTTTCTGTTTCCATGGTCTAAAATAATGTGTATAAAGAATATAACAGATGGGAGGTTACAGTAATCATTATACTATTACTCTGATTACTTTGGTACATTTACTGGGTGTTTCTTCACTAGAAACAACTGCTTGACTGATGTTGTTAATATTATGTAATATATAATATGTTTAACTTCACTGGGCTGTGTAGACTGTAGGTCACTGCTCACTGCTGTACCTGTAAAGACAAGCATCAAACACAGTGTTGGTTCTCATAGTTAAGGTATAAACACTAACATTATGTGATAGATAGCGGGGATATATATATATATATATATATATATATATATATATATATTAGTTATATGTATGTATATGTAGTTAATATAGCAGTATTTACCTGAGGAAAACGTCACAGAAAGCTGTAATCCTGATTGCTGATGTTCATTTCTCCGTGATTTCAGGTCAGACTCCCGCTCTAACATGTCCGCTGGTGAAGTTTTTGCTTTAGAAGCAGTTATTGAATTAATATTGACGGTAGAAATGCAGATAAACTCAGTAACAGTGAGGAGCTACCTGCCGGCAACGAAGGGGAGGGGCCGGAGCGTCATCCGCGTGAGCCGCGTCATAATGCCGACCAATCAGAGCAGACTGGGCTTTTCGGGAGGGGGGTCTTAAAGAGACAGGCGCTAAAACCTAGCGATTCAGACAGAGGCTGAAAAGAGGTGCTCAGCTGTAGGCAGTATGAGAAAAATAATGTGTTTTTTGAACATTAAAACATCTAAACCTATTGTAGGAGAGCCACAAAATACAATTATGAACCTGAAAAAGGGGCATAATATGACTCCTTTAAGTCTCATTAGGTTAAGTGTAAGCACATGCTGTTGGTCTAATGGCACTCAGAACCCAGAATGAAAATAGAAAACATCTTTACTGGTGAGAAAACAATGGCCATCATGTTAAACTGTGTGTCCACTGTTCTCTGTCATTCTCTCTGCAGTCAGATAAGTAGAGGTGGAAGACATCTGAGTTTTGCATTGACTCCTCCTCACAGGGAGGAGTGATGTAGATTGGACTTGGTCATCAGCTGTTAATAAAACAGCATACACATTTTCAAAACAGCCATAGTTACATTGGAATTATTATCATGACACAATATCTCGACTTCATAATGAATAACTTTAGAATAATATTATATAATGTTATATTTCATTTATAAACAGTAGAAGTATTCAACAATTTGCAAGTTTTATTGGAAAAGACCTGAAATGTAATCAGAATGTGGGGGGGGGGGGTCTATCTCTGGCTGCTCACACACCTGGCTGAGGTCATCACCACACCTGCTCCTCATCAGTCTTCAGCAGTACTTAAGGAGCAGCCACACATCCAGTCAATGCTGGATTGTTGTGAAGTATTGAGTGTGCTACTGCTTTCCAGCCAGTTATTTATTGTTGCTACTGTTTGTTGCCTGTCTGCTTCTGTCTGCCTGAGCCGTTCTCTTGCTGTCTGTTTTTGTCTGCAACTAACCGTGTCTCTCTGCCTCAGGAATCATTCCTGGGACTCAGCTCTGGAACCCTGTCCACTCAGCCCACGCCTCCTGTAAGCCAGCCACTGGATCCCCACACTCCAGGTCTACCAGCCAGCCACTCTCTGGATCACCCCCACCTCTGGACTCCCACTCTCGCCTGCCAGCTTCCCCTTTTTTCACTATTCGCTCGTTGTCTAATATAATAATTAATAATTTAACAAACAGTTTGCACTTGGGTGGGGGTGTTACGAGTATAGTGTGGTGTTTAGTTTTGCCTCTGCTCTGTGTGCCTCAGACTGTTTCTCTCTTCACTGTAAAAGTGAACTGGTGTTGAAATCATTAGTGGTCTGAGGGCTCGTCCTCTGGTGGCTTCATGTTACAAGTGTTCAGGCACTGAGGGGTTTTTGTTCAGGTCTACTGATGGTTTGTGTTATTGTGTCTCTCTGGCACAGTAATACACAGCAGAGTCTTCAGGCTGCACATTCTGTCCGTTTAGAGTCACTGTTTTGCTAGAAGAGTCTATGGAGATACTGAACTTGTTCTAGAGTGAATCTTTGTAGTATGTGTTCCATCCATCACCTGCCCTTCCAATCCACTCCAGTCCTTTTCCTGCAGGTTGTCTGATCCAAGCTGTGGGAGCGCTGCCCAGAGAATAAGAGACCTGACAGGTGATGGTCAGACGTTGACCTGGCTGCACAGTCACAGAGGCTGGCTGTGTCAACTGTTCACACTTTACACCTGTTAAAAAAGAAAATGTTTTGTAACAAATGATCAAGTTATACTGCAAAAGAAGAACTGTTGACTTTGATAAATCCAGAGAGACTCACATCCAGCTGCTAACAGCAGCAGCAGAGCTACAGAGAACATGGTTTATGTTGAAACTGACGTGCTGTGAACTCCACTGACAGCCTGATGGGAAGTTTTTATAGCTGAGTAACAAGGAAGGTCACTGAGTTTGCATAGAATCAAACATATGAAGCCTCAATGTTGGTCTAACAGGAGCCAATAGAAGAGTCTGTTGACTGTTATTATATCTGCAGAGTGAAAACATGTCTGGAAATCACCTCTGCTTTACATATGATATTGTAACTTTATTACACACTCAACTGTAACATTTTGAAAGTGAAACTTTACATTTACAGTTACAGTTCAATAATAAAAAACTAACATTTGCTTTTTTTTCTTTCCTATAAACTATTGCCGTCTAAATGTTTTGACAACAATTTGGTATTAAAACATTATGTATTTTTTTATAATTTCAAACAATGACAAGGATAATTATTCTCTATGTGAGTATTAACATGAATGATGGATAATGATATTCATTACAACCAGCACTGCAATAACAATGATGATGTGCATCCATTGAAACCAAAGGAGTAATCGGAATATTGCTTTCTGTGCCATGTTGACAGTGTGTTTATCATGTTTTCAATTGATTGCAGTGTTTTACTGCACCATTAGTTTATGCGTTTATTCACTCACATATTGTATCTGCTGCAAGCAGAAATATAGTGACAGCAAGGATCATGTAAATTGTATGTAAACTTCAGTGTGATGCTGCTGGTTTGCATAGAAATTACTGGACCTGAGGACATTAATCATGTGAGACAGTGCAGGGTCTATCAGCCCACTGAGGATGAGAAAAGACAGAGTGTTTGCTTAAAAATCCCAGAAAATGTTTGTTACTGCAGGATTAGTTGTCCATCCATCTTCAGTCAGTCTCATAAGCACAAGAACACACAGCAGCCCCTTCAGGCTTCCTGTTGTTCATCTTGAGATCTGCCTTATAATCAAGTTAAAACAGGACTTTGACTTTCCATCTGATTGGGTGTAAAATGGCGCACGCTCTGCTGCGACAGCACACGTTTTTTTTGACAGTTTTTCCCTCACCATCGACCACTCCTCTGTCTCCCCTTCCCCCAGGTTAAGAGTCTGGGTGTCATCCCTCGACAGCACATTATCTTTCCAATCCCATATCAATAACATCACCCGGTCTGCATATTTCCACCTACGCAATATTAATCGACTCCGCCCCTCCCCTTTCTCCCCACTCCACTGCCATCCTTACACACAGCCTTGTCACCTCCCGCATCGACTACTGCAACTCCCTTCTCTTCGGTCTACCTCACAAATACCTCCATAAACTTCAACTGGTTCAGAACTCTGCAGCTCGAATTATCACCAGAACCCCCTCCATCCACCACATCACCCCTGTTCTACAGCAACTCCACTGGCTCCCAGTAAAACTCTGCATTGACTTCAAAATCCTCCTATTCACGTTCAAGGCCATCCACAACCTCTCCCCTCCTTATCTGTCCGAACTCCTCCACATCGCCAACCCTTCCCCGTTCCCTCAGATCTGCCTCCTCTGTCCACCTCTCTGTCCCTCCCGCCTGCCTCGTCACCATGGGGAGCAGGGCTTTCAGCCGCTCTGCCCCCCAACTCTGGAACTCACTCCCACCGGACCTCAGGAACCTGGACTCTCACACTCTTCAAATCAAGATTAAAAACTCACCTATTCACAACTGCCTACCCCACTTAACCATCTACATTGTCTTTTCTTATCTGTTTCTTATTTCTTGCTTTTTTTTTTTTTTTTTGTTGTTGTACGGTGTCCTCGAGTGCCCAGAGAGGCGCCTCTAATAATTTAATGTATTATTATTATTATTATTAAAACGGAGGAAATAAAATGTATGAATGCATGGCCCTTTAGGGCTTCCGTAAGATATAACATATGTTTAAATGAAGTATTTATTTACATAAACACTGCATGTACTAAAGTAAATACATTTTGTTTCCTACACTTTCTTGCCGTCTCTCAGAAATGGTTTTAATGATTCTACAGAATGCGATGGAAACATTTTCTTGTTTTGTGCTTTAGTTCAGTCCAGAGTTCAAGTGTCAGTCAGTTAAGATCAATGAGAACAGCAGATCTGAGAGTCTCCCTTTTAGTAACAGAGGAGAGAGAAAGTTGACACTGACTGCCCTCTAGTGTCTTTATAACTGGAACTGTGACATTATTTTTCACTCTCTCATACTGTGAGCTACTTTAGATGCCAAATGATATAAACATTAATGTGTAGCTACATGTCTTTCTTTTATTCAGACCTGGACAGTGATTTCAGCAGACTGTTTGGCTGGTTTTTGAAGAAGTGATCATTAAAGGAAGACATTTTATTTATTTAGGTGCTTAATTGTTATTGTTGTTATGATCTTCCTCACAGATTGTTATGTTTTCTTAAAGAAATAAAAGCAAAATAAAAATACAAATCTTTTCTAAAGTAAAGTAAAGATGAGTACTGTAGGATTTTGTACAGCTACTCAACCAACTCCAGTCACTGTGGGTGTCGAGCACAATAATAAACAGCAGAATCTTCAGTCTTCAGACTGTTCATCTGCAGATACACCTGCTGTCTGCTGTTGTCTCTGGAGATGGTAAACTGGCCTTGAACTGACTGAGAGTAGAATTTGTTACTACTGTCAGTATAGATCAAAGCAATCCACTCCAGTCCTTTTCCAGGAGCCTGTCTGATCCAGTGCATCCAGTAGCTGCTGAATGTGAATCCAGAGGTTGTACAGGTCAATCTGTGAGATTCTCCAGGCCTTTTAACCACTGGTTCAGATTCTGTCAGAGTCTGACCATCAATATCTGTAAGAAAAAAATCACATGACTATAGTTTGTACAGAACTATTTATATTAAAAAGATCAGTGAAGATCTTGGAAAAACTGGAATCAATTTTTAGAAGTCAGTTTAATTGAATTTGCATGAAATGTTACTATCATTATGTCATACTGTTGACCTTATTTTAGCTTTTGCTCTTGCACAAATATTCAGTTACCCCATACAGAGATAAAAGAATCAAAAATCAACCCTGGTTTAACTCCATAACTCATATGTTTAGGTATTGACTCCTCCTCACAGTGTGGAGAGAAGCAGACTGGTCATTGCTTATTGTTTATTCAGAGCTGTGACTTGAGTCAAATTAATTTTATTCATGCATCTAAAATTTATGTTAAATTTGAATAGTCTTTCAAAGTTGAATTTTGTACTCTATTTGAAATTTAAAATTGTATTTTTGGTCAAATAATATTCTGCTTAAGAATTATTCACAGAAAAAAGAAAACACAACACACAATTGAAAAATCAAACTCTTACATGTTTTTTTCCTTCTTAAATGAAACCTATGTTGGGCAAAAGTATCTGTCAATTAAGTACACATTACAAAAATAAATGAGATCAAAATAACAATAATAATTTAGATAATTAATGAGTAAAAACTAGTGCTGTCAAACGATTAAAATATTTAATCGCATTAATGTCATAGTTAACTCGCAATTAATTGCAATTAATCGCACATTTTTATCTATCCTAAATGTCCCTTGATTTCTTTTTGTCCCATTATTTTTTCTCATTCTAATGCTCTTATCAAAATGGAGAAGTGGATCGGCTTGCTTTGTGCAAATGTTGTTTTTATTGAAAACAACATTGGCATATACTGTAGTGTTCAATTTCACACTAACATTCTCACTTGGAGCAAATAATCTTTCACACAATGTAACACTGTCCATCAATAGAAGGGTGAAAAAAAATACTTTGTCCCACAAATAGCCCCTTCAACAGCCCTTTCTAAGGGATCAAAACAGGGGCGATACAAAATAAAATTACAAAGTGCACATGTAAGGTAAACTAGGACTCAGCCTATAGTGCAGTTAAACCATGGCTTAATACTTTTCTCAAGTTTGCTTTGAACATAGCAGTCAGGCTACTGCTCTTTATTCACCAGAGGCTCAACCCAGCCTCTTATTTCAGAAAGAATGAACAGTAACGGTTAACAATAAAAGGTAAGCCTACTACTTCTTTGCTTTGAGCCAGTTACTCAAACAGACAAGCCTGTTGACATTTTCAGACAACAAGGAATCCATCCATTTCGGCGTCTCTCGCTCGCCATCCACTCAAAACGTAACGTCTACTACTCTTAAACAAGTGTGTGCGGCGTGCCTGTTGTTTTGTTTCCGATCTAGCTAGATGCCGTGTGGTGTTGTTGTTTTTCTAACGTTACTAGTTGTAGTGAAGACACTGGGATGTTACTGTATATGGCGTTAGTTCAGGGGCTATCACTGAGTTCACACCGGGGTGCCGGCCAGAACACCAACTTAAGGCTAAGTAATGCTCAGAGGTCCACAATGAAGAATGATGATGATAGTGCAGGTGGTTTAATATCCTCTTGCTGGCAATGAGGTCATGTGGTTTTTCTACAGCAAAGGAACAATAACAAATATACACAAATGAATAAGAATAAAGCTCTTAATCACTAATTGTTACGGCCGCCGCTGGCTGTCATTTAGTGTATATTCATTATGGTGTTTCATGTAATTCCCTGTTGAGGATTGGTCCTTCTGGAGCAGAGACCGCCTACTTCTTGGTTGCTGTCCCCTGGCATCAGTGATTGGTGTGGCTGCAATTCCACTGAAGCTACCAATCAGGAGTCTTCAATCAACCCCAGCTGCACTTAAATAGCTTGTGTGTCCACAGTTCAGGGCGGCTGTGAACTAGTGATCAGTTCGCCTTGCTGTTGGTTGCACACCATTGTGTTAGAGTGTCTGTACTTTCTAGTATTGCCTGGCTGTTATCTGAGTGGATTCAGCCAGTGCCTTTGTAATCTTTTTGTGACCTTTTACGTTATCAATAATTGCTAGTTTGGTTTTTGTTCACTAGTTTGTAAGCTTATGGGTGCTGATCTCTTTTTGTTCTTCAGTATTATCCAGTCATTTTCATCTTGTGTACTAGTTATTTGTCAGCACCTGTATAGGGTCCGTGTATGTTTTGGTCATTGGATTTTCCTTTCAGAAACGGGTATTAAAAAACAGAAAACGAGTGGTTATTTGATTTTCGTTTTAAAATACAAAAATTCTAATTGAAATACAAGGCGTTTTTCTTTTTCATGGTCAAAAAGGGATGAGCGAAATTAAAAAAATTATTCGATTTTCATTTTCTATTTCATATAACAAAAAATAAAATCACTAGAAAACAGAAACGAAAAAAGGCCTGTTGTTTCATATTCTGAGACCGGATGTTGTCATTTACAGGACGGTGCTGTGTAGAAGAAACAGTAGGCTAGTAGACTGCGGTCAATCCAGCCGTGAGTTCGATCTCCTCGGTCAAATCAGCCGCACTTAAATTTCGAGTGTACAAGTATTCTCAGCATTATGGTAAATGCGGAGAAACAGCGTATGTACTTCCGGTTTTCAAAATAAAGGTATTAAGAACAGTAAGCTATAATTCAAACCTACATTTAAAATAAAATATATTACATTAAAGTGTTTCATGCGCCCCTGATGAATAAAGCACACTTTATATCAAGTATCTTTACTGCACCACTGTGGAGAAATACCAAAATAAAAGTCTCATATTTATGCCTCCAGAGATAGCATATTTGACCATATTTGAGGTACTGTAAAAACATATTGCTCAGTGTTTCCTGGCTACTGATGGTATATTTGACTTTTGCACATATGAGACTACAAGTATACTTAATATCAAGCATTTTTACTGTACCAATGTGGGGAAATTGAAGAATAAGAGTCCCATATTTATACTTCCAGATTCCATATTTTCTTATATTTGAGCTACTGTAAAAATGTAAACTGTATGTGGAACCACCTGCAACAGCTGTCACACTGAATAATATAAAAAATAATATGTGTGGAAGAGACAGTATAGGTACAATGGTGTTTTGAAGTTAAAACTAATTATTTTTCCATTTTACCTACAAATGGACACAGCAGAGCAGCAAAATAAGAAGAATGTGGACTGGCATTGCATTTTGTGTGAAAAGTAAACAAATTAGAATTGTGTAGGATTTTGTGTTTAGTGTTTATATTATCAAGATGTTATTAAACATTTGTCATGATTGCAGAATTATTGAAGTATAATGAAAATGCTTCACCCATAGCCAGGAAATATTGAGCAAAGTGGCTCAAAAATATAAGAAAATATGGAATCTGGAAGTATAAATATGGGACTTTTATTCTTCAATTTCTCCAAATTGGTACAGTAAAAATGCTTGATATTAAGAATACTTGTAGTCTTAGATGTGTAGAAGTCAAATATATCATCCATAGCCAGGAATTATTGAGCAAAGTGTTTTTACAGTAGCTCAAATATATGAAAATATGCCACATGGAGGTACAAATATGGACTTTTATTGTTGAATTTCCCCAAATTGGTACAGTATAAATGCTTGATATTAAGTATGTTTGTAGTCTCATATGTGTAAAAGTCAAATATACCATCAGTAGCCAGGAAACACTGAGCAATATGTTTTTACAGTACCTCAAATATGGTCAAATATGCAATCTCTGCAGGCATAAATATGAGACTTTTATTTTGGCATTTCTCCACACTGGTGCAGTAAAGATACTTGATATAAAGTTTTTTTTTATTCATCAGGGGCGCATGAAACACTTTAATGTAACATATTTTAATTATAGCTTACTGTTCTAAATACCTTTATTTTGAAAACCGGAAGTAATACGGCGTTTCTCCGCATTTACCATAATGCTGAGAATACTTGTACACTCTAAATTTAAGTGCGGCTGATTTGACCACGGAGATCGGACTCACGGCTGGATTGACCACAGTCTGCTAGCCTACTGTTTCTTCTCCACAGCACCGTCCTGTAAATGACAACATCCGGTCTCAGAATATGAAAAAACAGGTCTTTTTTCCGTTTCTGTTTTCTAGTGATTTTAATTTTTGTTTTATGAAATAGAAAATGAAAATCAAATAATTTTTTAAATTTCGCTCATCCCTTTTTGACCATGAAAAAGAAAAACGCCTTGTATTTCAATTTTAATTTTTGTATTTTAAAACGAAAATCAAATAACCACTCGTTTTCTGTTTTTTAATACCCGTTTCTGTAAGGAAAATCCAATGAAAAAAGATACACGGACCGTATAGCCTCTCTTTTGTTATATTTCATTGTGCAAGCACACTCTCCTTAGTTAATTAAAACACCTGATTTTAACCTGAACCTGTCAATTGTTGTATTCCATCTCTTTTCCAATTCCAATTGTATGTTACTGCTCCCCAAATCGAGCTGGGTCGTAACACTAATAAACATACTAAAGGAGTACTGAAATTACTACATCCCCAAAATAACAGTCCTGAAACACTCTTCACCTGACTTACTAGCATATTAACACACATATAAACAACATCACATGGTAATATTTAAGTAACACTCACTGTAAGCATTACACTAGCGAGTCGGAGCGATAACAATAACGTAACATGTGACGTGACGTACACTTGATCAGAGGCAGGTGAGCTAAATGCTACAACTAGCTTAAACAGTGACCACATGGCAAGTCTGACAGCTACACATCAGAACAACAAAATAAACTATAGCTGCAGCAACGTAAACACAGTACATCAACAATATATCCGGACATACTCACTTTCCATCCACGCACAGACCACTTGCCGTGGCGTTAATTGTTAATTGAACCGTGAATCCCTCACTCTGCCGTCTCACCGGAGCACACACCTCTCTGACCAAGTACCGTCAGTTACGCTATATAACCAAAGGGGGGCGCTCTTATATGAGCTGACCAACACTACATCTATGAAATTACACACTAAACATAATATGTCCCAACTTTGGGGCCTTTTCTACACTAGTTGTTGCAACCATAGACATATATACATAGACACTGCATCGACTGTGGAGCGACGTGCCTACAGGGCGGCCATCTTGGAACAGGGCTAGCAGAGGCAGCGGTGCATCAACCTACGAAGGAAAGAGGAACTCCCGCAATCTCAAAGTAGAATTAGTCGCTGAATTTTGGACCGATTTCCAAACGTATTGATTTGTTAAAAACGTCACACATGTAGCTATGATACAGGGTGCTTGGATATTTTAAAAGTGCTGGTTTTACTACCCAAATACAAATTCTACTTAATGTTATCAGCAGACGAGCGTCTGACAGAAGATTCATGATTAACTTGAGCACAGCTTTTTTTGTAATTGCAGCATTTCTTTATTCATTAACTTATTCACTTACTGTAGTTACTTACTGTATTTACTGCAAACAGAAATACACTGACAGCAGCCAGGATCATGTAAATCATGTTGTATGAAAACTGCAATGTGATGCTGGTTTGCATAAAGACTTTTAATGGTTTTAGTGTTTGCAGATATTTGAAGACATACAGAGAAAATTGGAGCCCTGAGAGAAAAACAGCTGCTCAAGAACTGAAACCTGTGTGACAAAATACACAATAATAGTCTTTAGATTAGATGAAAACTACTGTAGTTCATTTTTGTCATTATCACAACATTTGTCCTTTGTCTGTGTGTGACTGTGTCAGAAATAAGTCTGAATCAAATAGCATGCAGTGTGGTTTATTTGGATTTTTTTGTTCTTGGTTTGCTATAATATTATTATTTCCAAATAAAATAAAAATGTAACAAAAACTAAACAATTTGTAACATATGACAGGCACAAGTTTATTTGTGATCATGGAGATATGTAGCTACCTTTCATCCCTAAATAACTACAGTGTATTTCTTGTTTTATTGTATCAAACTGTCAATTGATCATGAATTGTGGATTTAAATCCAGTCATAAGTCAGTAAATGTAGCATTGTGTGGTGTGTTTTATAATTTTTTAATCTGAGGACATTAATCAGTTGAGACAGTGCAGGGTCTCCTTTTGGAAACAGAAGAGAGAGAAACTTGACACTGACTGTCGTCCAGTGGTTTTATACCAGAAACTCATTTTTATTTTAGTTATTATATTTTTCACTCTCATATTATCATGGAGTTTATATCCACATAACTTGCAGTGTCTTAATTTATATAAATGTTTAGTATTTGCAATAATTTAATTGCTGCAACCAGATTGTGCTGTCTTTGGCCCTTTTATCAACAAGTGCATTTTATTGTGTTTTTTAATATTTCGTAATAAAATATGAGGAACAGTTTTCTGGACTTTAATTCAGAGACAATTATTAATTTATTCACTAAAATACATATAAATAAAATGTAATGTAGCATATAAAACTATGTATTAAAAAATCATGTCAAATTCAACATAAAATGAATATATAATACAAATACTATGAATACTTAATGCACAGACTCTACCAGCCTGAAAGATGAGTACTGTAGGATTTTGTACAGCTGCTCAACCAACTTCAGTCACTGTGAGTCTCGAGCACAATAATAAACAGCAGAATCGTCAGTCTTCAGACTGTTCATCTGCAGATACACCTGCTGTCTGCTGTTGTCTTTGGAGATGGTAAACCGGCCTTGAACTGACTGAGAGTAGTGTTTCCCGTCATTATCATTTTCCACCCAGGCAATCCACTCCAGTCCTTTTCCAGGAGCCTGTCTGATCCAGGCCATATGGTAGTCACTGAATGTGAATCCAGAGGCTGTACAGGTCAATCTGTGAGATTCTCCAGGCCTTTTAACCACTGGTTCAGATTCTGTCAGAGTCTGACCATCAACACCTGTCAAACAAAGAAAGCTGTTCATGTCATGTGTTACATTGGCAGCACAAAATGAAATATGTCAACTAAAGATCAGTGAAGATGTTCACCTGCCCAGCAGATAGTTAACAGCAGCAGTCCTGTCCTATAGTCCATCATGTTAAACTGTGTGTCCACTGTTCTCTGTCATCCTCTCTGCAGTCAGATAAGTAGAGGTGGAAGACATCTGAGTTTTGCATTGACTCCTCCTCACAGTGTGGAACTGGATTTGACTCAGATCTGAGTTACTGAGTAATTTTAATTACATTTTGACAGAAATATGACACCTTAACAAACGTTAATTATGTTATACTGCTGACTTCTTCTCAAAGTGTTCATAAGTCAAACCACTTTAAGGATATCAGGGGAATGAAAACCTCAGTAGGAATAACAATTAAGCGTCAATAGAAATAAATTGTCCACTCAGACATATAAACTCAAACAAAAGTTCCAGTAAAAGCTTTGTCACTGTCTGCAGTCAGATTATTAAAGGTTGAAGACAACTACGTTCTGCATTGACTCGTCCTCACAGGGAGGACAGAGTTTGGTCTTTAGTTTGTTGCACTTGAGAAATGAGAATGTAGGAGTTGTGACATCAGCCAAATAAATCTGATTCAGGCAAATCTGAATGTAATACTTGTTAAATTTCAATTTTATTATTCATTTTATAATAACACAAACTAAAACCAGAAACTGTCTATGAGAAACAAATAATATATGATTGCAACATTTTAAAAAAGTATTAATGCTAAGTAGAGGACTGGAACATAAGACGAGAAAATTTGATTTATGATCTGTTATGTGACTCTATGTGTTATCTGTATTTGTAAGATTAAAATAACTTTTTTTGGCGCATTAATTTCTCATGTTATTTAATTCTCTGTCCCTCAGAGAGTAACTGTCCAACACATACTCACTCACTGGGAGCATGGCTGATGGTGACGACTGTATAGTTCAGTCACAACCTTATGGAAGTTCTGACAGTTTGTTTAAAGGCACAGTTTCTGAATACTGGCTGTGTGCATTTCTCTGTGGAATGAGCTTTTTGATACTTTCACAGTATTTATACAGCACCTACCTGCTTTATAATCACACAAGAAATGGAAATCTCCCTTTCCACAATATGGGACCTTTAATTATTGAAATATAAGAGAAAATGTTTCACTCTTGCCTTTCAAAATAAAATATGGGGATATTATTAACCAGTGCATTGTGGTAGATAAGCACATACAACCATTTAAAAAGAGGAAGTGACAAACCACAGCCTCAGCTGGTGCTTGCACATTGTGTTTGTTTCTCTGTATGTGTAGGTACGATGCCACACTGGTTTTAAGATCTCCTGCTGCCCCCTTTTGGTGACTGTAAAAATTAGTTGTTTGAGGTTTTTGTAAAGCTTATTTGCTTACTTAGATGACTGTGGCTGTCAAATCCCTGGCCATTCAAACCTGCCAAAGAAACAGATGTTAAAGGACACAAGTGAGAACGAGAGAGAAATAAACAGCAGAACATTAAATGTGTGCATTCTCTGATCAGTATTGCAGCATGAAGCAACGTACAGGGCAGACAGAGTGCTGTCAGCAGTACAGACAGTTTGTCCATCATCTTGAGACTGAAGATGTGAACTCAGATGCTGCAGAAGTAAACCCTCTGAAAGCTCTGGATTTGCATTGGCAGTTTGTAAGGGAGGGGCTTATTTGTATAATAGATTTGATATATATCAAATACATCTCCAAGATAAAAATACTTTGTGCTTTTGATTCTTAACTCTGCATATATGGTATATAACACTGTGAACAGGGCCCTTAAGTACATTTAGCTTCTGATACTTATGTACTTTTACTTAAGTAAAAGTAAAGTATTTGATGACAGCCTGGATGACCTTCTTCAGGTCAGCAAATGAGAGAAACAGCCTGATCTTAATAATAAGTGTGTTTCTCTCTTCACTGTAACAGTGAACTGGTGTTCAATCCTTCTACTATTCAGTGAGTTCAATAAACATTATTTTTTATCAAATAATCAGAGAGTATTGTCTTTATTAATGTTAACATTTAGAATATGTGTGTGCTTGAGTCACATAGTTGCTGGGTATTTGTGCAGGTCTGTTGGTGGTTTGTATCACTGTGGGCTGATGTGCACAGTAATACACAGCTGTGTCCTCAGGCTGCACATTCTGTCCTGTTAGAGTCACTGTTCGAGCAGAAGTGTCTCTGCTGTAACTGAACTTGTTCTTCAGAGCATTGTTTTGATAAAAGCTACTTCCACCCCACCGATGCCGAATCCATTGCATTGGTTTTCCTTCACACTGTCTGATCCAACCTGTTGCATAGCTGTTATCAGTCAATGAATATCCAGAGACCTGACAGGTGATGGTGAAGGACTGTCCAGGCTGCACAACCATTGAGTCTGACTGGATGAGATCAATACTGTTCACACCTGTGGAAACAGAAATCAACATTATCTCCATCATTCATCTGACTATTCAGTGTTTCTAATGTGTTTATTAGTGTGAATCCACTGAAAGCTCCTCACAGGATCCAGCTGCCAGCAGCAGTATCAGAGCTACAGAGAACATGTTGATGTTGAAGCTGAACTGATGTGAGCTCTTCTGTCCTCTCACTGCACACACACACACACACACACACACACACACACACACACACACACACACACACACACACACATTTTACTTCCTTATGAGCAACACACAAGGAGCTCATTTACATCCTGATGACAGTAAATCAGCTGACTAATGTGTATTTAAATAATTCAACATTAGGATGAAATGTTCAGGCATTTGTCCTCATCTCACACAGACAGAAGGTGGAACTTCTTCTCTTTTCTTCATCTCTGACAAACACACTATAGACTATTGATTCACTATTGATTCCAGTTTGAAGAATTAACATCTCCATGAAGTTGTGTAAAGACTCCTGACTCTAATGACTAATGTAGCTTTGATTATGATAATGATCTATTTGTTAATTAAGTAGTCAAAGCTTTGAATTGTGTTTTGAACATTTATTTTGAAAGATAGAAAACAAGAAAGTATCGTTATTATTTAAAACAGAACTTAACGTTGAAGTTGATTCATTCTTAACAAATCATCTAAAACAAGTTCATTCAAAGCGTTCAAATTTACACTCAAATCAACAGAATATTTATTGTTCCCAGAGCTGCAATAAAACGGTGTTTATTCTGTGAATGTGAAAATACAGAAAGAAAAGTTTGGATTTGTGTGTAGTATTTATTTTAATCATAACTGGACAATGATTTCAGTAACCAGACTGTTGTGCTGTCTGGCTGTTTTGTGAGGAAGTGATTGTTACAGTAACATATTTTAATGTGTTTAAATGGTTATTGTTGTTTGTTTAATGATTGTCAGAGTATAAAAACAGTATGTTAGGATGAGGGTTAATATGACTGAAAGAAAACATGTAGTATTTTTGTGATAGTTGTGCTGCACTTGATCATTGAGGAACTGATCATTAAAACATTTTATTTATTCAAAGGTTGTTGTTGTTAATAATTGTCGGTTTAATCTTTCAGTTTTCATGATTTTCTTAAAATCAAAAACAAAAGAAAAAATAACACAGTAATTGTTTGTCATAGTCCGTCAGTCCAGTGAGGATGAGTACTGTAAGTTTTTGTACAGAGTTGCTCCTTCCTGTCTCACTGTGGGTGTCGAGCACAATAATAAACAGCAGAATCTTCAGTCTTCAGACTGTTCATCTGCAGATACACCTGCTGTCTGCTGTTGTCTCTGGAGATGGTAAACTGGCCTTGAACTGACTGAGAGTAGAATTTGCTACCACTGCTATCACTGATAGTAGCAATCCACTCCAGTCCTTTTCCAGCAGCCTGTCTGATCCAAGCATTCCAGTAATGGCTACCAAACCCTGAATATGTGCAGGTCAATCTGTGAGATTCTCCAGGCCTTTTAACCACTGGTTCAGACTCAGTCAGTGTTTGACCCTCAGCACCTACAGACAGTTAAACACATCATTAGTTACTGTAATGCAGCCATATTGTCTTTGTATCAGGAGGTTTGTCAGACAAACAATGATTGTTCTTACCTGCACAGTTAATAGACAGGATGAGAAAAATCACCAAATAATCCGGTCTGATCATTGTAAAAGCCAGTTGTCTCTGTCCAGTCTACAGTGTGTATGATTTAGTCTCTGTCCTTCACTCTGCAACACATATGTAGAGATGGAAGAGATCAGAGTTTTGCATTGACTCCTCCTCCTCACAGAGAAACACACCACATCTCACACATCTCTGAAAAACATGATTTAAATAATTGTATATTATAATTATTATTTTAAATGATTACAATGTCCATCAAGTTATTTGACCTGATACCAATTGTATTTATTTATTTTTTTCTGCAGCATTTAGTAGAACATCCATATACTGGATATATCATGCATTAATATGTTCTCATCACCTGCTGTTAACAATCAGAATTAGGAACATTGTTAACCATTATTATTATAGAAAGTAACATGTTAAATGTTATAATGAGAAACAGGAAGTCACAAACCGCAACATCAGCTGTTGTTTTCATAGTGTGTATGTGTTTGTTAGACTCTCCAGTTTGAGTTATCTGACTTTATATCTTCTGCTGCCACCTGTTGGTCTTTGTAAACAAATGTTCTGTGGAGTTTTTGTAAAGCCTCTCTGCTTCCTTTAACCACTGTGAGTCTCTGGCACAGTAATACACAGCAGAGTCCTCTGGCTTTAAGTTGGACAGTCTCAGATACACCATGCTGTTGCTATTATCTCTGGTGATTTCTACACGTCCTCGCACACTGCTGGCCTATGTGTTACTACTGGCATCAGAGAGGCCTCTCCCTATCCATTCCAGTCCTTTTCCTGCAGGTTGTCTAACCCTGTGCATAGTACAGCAGTTAAATTTGAAGCCAGATCCCCTGCTGGACAGACTGAGAGTCTCTCCAGGCTTTTTCACTACTGAACTGGAAGGAATGGACTCCATACTCTGACCTGTACAACCTGATGAGATGAAAGGAGAGAGGAACCACAGAAGAAAGTGAGACAGTCATCTGGGAAGTTTTCTGGTATCACTGACTGACCATCAGTCCATGTTGTCTGATAAAAGATAAAACAGCAAGAAGCAGGAGAACTCACAGGGCAGAGAGAGAGAGCAACCAGCAGAAGAGTGAGTGTGTTCATCATCCTGAGGCTGGAGATGTGACCTCTGATGCTCCACACAAAGTACAAGAGCAGTCAGCAGGACAGAAGTACACTGCACAGACTGAAGATTTGCATCAGGATATCATGTGGAGGGAGGGGCTCATTTACAGCCTCTCTGTTAGAGTTTCATTTCATTATATCATTTATTATTTGTTCGTTTTTTAATTGACCATCCATGTAGGATACAATATCACATCCTTTTTGTTGTTCAAAAACAATGAACAAATCATGAAAATTAAATAATACGGTTTACCTGAAAGTCAGCGTATTAATCTATGTGACTAAGGATGCTGGGTATTTGTGCAGTTTATTGGTGAAGATTTTTTCTTCACCTCAGAGGAAGAGAAGGTGTAACTGCATTGAATCGTAGTGAAAACACATTAACTTGTAATTTCAGGTTTAATATCTCACTGATGTTCATGTTGGAGTCTGAATCAACGTTTTAGGATTTATTTTGCCAAAAGTGCTGATGTGAAATTGACATCTGGAACCTTTTTTTCAACCTCAGCTTAAATTATTGTTACACCGAGGTTTCTCAAAGCCTTGAATAAATATTAAATATTCATTACCAAAACATAAACATCACATTATGCTTTTATAGTGAAATTCAAGGATTTGAACCAAAATCAAACAGCATTTAAACAACCTGACCACGAGCAAAAGACATCATTAAATTAAAATTCTGACTTTTATTTTTCAATATGTAGTTTTTGAAATGACCCAGAAGGTTTGTTCTCATACAATCTGACTCAAATGAGTTAAATATAGGCATCACTTCCTTTGGTTTTAAAACAGTTTTATTCAGAAAATTATCCCCAGATAATAAAAAAATGTAAGATTCACTGATTTACTGAATGGTTTCATTTTATTAACTTACTGCAAACACAAGTGTAGTAAAAGCAAGATCATCTAAATGAATACTTGAGTTTGCTGAAGCTGGTTGAATGCCAGGATTTTATTTTATTGTATTTTATTTAATCTTTTTTTTTTTTTTTTTTTTTTACTTTTAAAGGATTTAGCATTTAAACAGATTTTTGTGGTGTTCTGGAAAATGTCTGCGGGCTTTTCTGTCAAATAATGTATATAAATGTGAAAAGTCATTTATTCTCTCAATTCAAAGTATTAATATCATTTTATTGGAATAATTGTGGTAAAGATGAGTACTGTAGGATTTTGTACAGCTGCTCAACCAACTCCAGTCACTGTGAGTCTCGAGCACAATAATAAACAGCAGAATCTTCAGTCTTCAGACTGTTCATCTGCAGATACACCTGCTGTCTGCTGTCGTCTCTGGAGATGGTAAACCGGCCTTGAACTGACTGAGAGTAGAATTTCCTGTCGTTATCATTTTCAATCCAGGCAATCCACTCCAGTCCTTTTCCAGGAGCCTGTCTGATCCAGGCCATATGATAGCTGCTGAATGTGAATCCAGAGGCTGTACAGGTCAATCTGTGAGATTCTCCAGGCCTTTTAACCGCTGGTTCAGATTCTGTCAGAGTCTGACCATCAACACCTGTCAAACCAAGAAATATATTCATGTTATGTCTTACATTGGTAGCAAAAATGAAAATATGCCAAATCAAGATCAGTGAAGATGTTCACCTGCCAAGCAGATAGTTAACAGCAGCAGTCCTGTCCTATAGTCCATCATGTTAAACTGTGTGTCCACTGTTCTCTGTCATCCTCTCTGCAGTCAGATAAGTAGAGGTGGAAGACATCTGAGTTTTGCATGGACTCCTCCTCACAGTGTGGAACTGGATTTGACTTGGATCTCAGTTGATGTTTGGTGAAACTGCAGAATGAATGTTTACTGTACATTAGTCATTCCTCCAAGAGTCCCTCTTGCATGTTTCAGTATAATTTGTGCAACATGTTGACAAACACATTATTTAAGTTGGTTGACCCTTATTAAAGACCACATTATAGACCACAGTCTGCATCATGGGAAGACCTCGACAATAGTTTATCAATTTTACCATACTCCTAAAGTGAGTATTTTTAATTACATTTTAAGTAAATGAATGTCAAATAACACCCTAACAAATGTTGTTCATTATGTTACAATGTTGAATTTCTCACAAGAAAATCTCTTTCAAATGTTCATATATCATACTATTTTCAAGACTTAAGGGACCAAAAACCCAAGTAGCAATAAGAGTAAAGAATACATTTGAGAATATTAATTAAGCATTGAAAAGGAATAACATGTAACTCTTCAATACGTGTTTGACATTAATAACCATGTTTTTCAGTCAATGCAAATAAATGATTTACATTTCTGAGGCAGACAGAGAAAAAAATGTTTTCTAAAATGCCTCCATGTGTTTTTGATATCATTAATATTCTATATTATTTTCTTAATTCTTATCATGTCTGTTTCTGTCTTCACTGTAACAGTGAACTGGTGTTGAAATCATTAGTGGTCTGAGGGCTCCTCCTCTGGTGGCTTTATGTTACAAGTGTTCAGGCACTGAGGGGTTTTTATTTCAGGTCTACTGATGGTTTGTGTTATTGTGTCTCTCTCTGGCACAGTAATACACAGCAGAGTCTTCAGGCTGCACATTCTGTCCGTTTAGAGTCACTGTGTTACTGGAAGAGTCTATGGTGATACTGAACTTGTTCTTCAGTGAATCTTTGTAATATGTGGTGGATCCAGCTCTGCTTCCAATCCACTCCAGTCCTTTCCCTGCAGGCTGTCTGATCCAAGCTGTGTAGTAGCTGCTAACAGAATAAGAGACCTGACAGGTGATGGTCAGACGTTGACCTGGCTGCACAGTCACAGAGGCTGGCTGTGTCAACTGTTCACACTTCACAGTTTTTATAGCTGAGTAACAAGGAAGGTCACTGAGTTTGCATAGAATCAAACATATGAAGCATCAATGTTGGTCTAACTGGAGCCAATAGAAGAGTCTGTTGACTGTTATTATATCTGCAGAGTAAAAACATGCCTGAAACCACCTCTGCTTTACATATGATATTTTAACTTCATTACACACTCAACTGTAACATTTTGAAAATTTCCTCTGCATTTACAGAACTGAAACAACTTTAACTTTGCTCTTACTGTAAACTATTACTCTCTAAATCTAAAGAAGTCAATATTGAAATTTTTGTATAATTGCAAACAATGATAAGGATCATTATCATAATCTTAATGTGAATATTAACAGTAATTATAATGCAGAATATATACATTAATGTAACAATGATAATGTGCACCCATGGAAACTAAAGGGACAATCACCAATAATGTTGCTTTCTATAAGACATGTGTGTTTATCATGTTTTCAAATGATTCAAACACACTCTGAATATGAAGTGAGCTGTTTCCCTGAGAGAATGAATTTAGCACCTCCTATCAGAGTTGGGGGGTTATATTAAAAATGTAATCCAAATCCATGAAAACATGCCTGGAAATCACCTCTGCTTTACATATGATATTTTAACTTTATTACACACTCAACTGTAACATTTTGAACATCAAACTGTACTTTTCATTAACTGTAAACTATTATTGTCTAAATGTATTGTTTTGGCTACATTTCAATATTAAAACATGTCAGTTTGTATAACTGCAACAACTGTATTGATCATTATAGCTATTCTTGATGTGAATACAAATCATAGATAATGGAAAACATATTCAATAAAATCAGTATTGCAATAACAATGATAATGTGCATCCAATGAAACAAAAGAGCAACCAGAATGTTGCTTTCTATTAAACATGTTTACAGTGTGTTCAGTGTGTTAAATTAATTACAGCAGACTTTGAATATGACACCACATTCCTGATGAAGTTTGAGCACAGCGTTTTACTGCAGCATTTGTTAATGCATTTGTTCGCTCACATATTGTATTCGCTGCAAACAGAAATACAGTGACAGCAAGGATCATGTGAAACTTCAGTGTTCAGTGAGTTGCTGATGATGTTCGTAATGAGGGAAGAGTTTGCATAGAGCTCCCTCTGCAGGTTTAAAAAGGGAACATGGAACACCAATTAACTTAAAATAGAGAATTATTTCTACAAGAGAAAATATAATTAATGAAAGTTGGTGTTTCTGTATTTGAATGATAAACTTGAAAGTTTTGTTATTGTTTTTGTACACAAAAAGAACAAAACTTGTTTTCTTCTCCAAGCATCAACATACAAGAACACAGGTACAAAACATGTTTTATGATTATATATTTTAATTTGTTGTTAAAAAATATATGGAATGTGAAATACAGAACAGAAAAGATAAACACAAATCTACATTTAAACTAAACTAAAACATACAATTATACATACATATATACTATAAAAAATACTTAATGCTCTCACTATTGGGCTGTTGTTCAGCTATTGAGGAGTTACTTTGAATGAAGTTCTGTGGAATATGCAAAATATTCCAAAATATATACAGTAATATTATTTCTACATTTATATGTCTGTTCTAATTATTTTTCTATTAAAATGTAAGTGGTTCTCACAAAGGAATTGTATTGTATCATTTTCTTTGACTAGTTGAAGTGAGGACATTTACAGTGGGTACGGAAAGTATTCCACCATGATATAAAGTCATTAGGAACACATTGCTTCAGAAAGTTATGGCTGTAATCAGCAGAATGATTAAATCAATTTAAAAACTCAACAACTTCTCTCTCAGAGAGTAACTGGCCACAAATACTCGACTGAATAACAAATTTATTTAAATGTACTTTAACAATGAGTGTGTGTATTTGAGTCACATGGTTGCTGGGTATTTGTGCAGGTCTGTTGGTGGTTTGTATCACTGTGGGCCGACGTACACAGTAATACACAGCTGTGTCCTCAGGCTGCACATTCTGTCCTGTTAGAGTCACTGAGCTATTAGAAGTGTGTGTGTTGTGAAGGAACTTGTTCTTCAGTGCATTGTTTTGATAAAAGTCTCCTCCACCCCGTCGATGCAAAATCCAATCCATCGGTTTTCCTTCACACTGTCTGATCCAACCTGTTGCATAGCTGTTATCAGTCAAAGAATATCCAGAGACCTGACAGGTGATGGTCAAAGACTGTCCAGGCTGCACAACCATTGAGTCTGACTGGATGAGATCAATACTGTTCACACCTGTGGAAACAGAAATCAACATTATCTCCATCATTCATCTGACTATTCAGTGTTTCTAATGTGTCAGGCCCCTTCATATCTTAAAGAGCTCATAGTACCCTATTACCCCACTAGAACACTACGTTCTCTGAATGCTGGGCTACTTGTGGTTCCTATAGTCTCTAAAAGCAGAACAGGAGCCAGAGCCTTCAGTTACCAAGCTCCTCTCCTGTGGAACCAGCTTCCAGTTGTGGTTCGGGAGGCAGACACCCTCACCACATTCAAGAGTAGGCTTAAGACATTCCTCTTTGATAAAGCTTATAGTTAGGGCTGGATCAGGTGAGTCCTGAACCATCCCTTAGTTATGCTGCTATAGGCATAGACTATCTGGGAATTTCCCATGGTGCACTGAGCTCCTCCCCTTCCTCTCTCTTTCTGCACTCATTCATGTTCCATTTATGCATGTTACTAACTTCACTTCTTCCCCGGAGTTCTTGTGCTTTCTCATGTCACAGGTTCTTATCGATCCTTGTGGAGCCTCCTGCCATGGTCCTGCTAGATTGCCATTGCCAATACTGTTGTTGCTGTGCACCTGTCTGTCTGTCTGTCTGTCTGTCTGTCTGTCTCTCGCTCTCTCTCTCTCTGTCTCTCTCTCTCTCTCTCTCTCTCTCTCTCTCACCCCAACTGGTCGAGACAGACGACCACCCACCTAGAGCCGAAGGATCTGTCCTAGGTTTCTGCCTTTTAGTTTTTCCTTGTCCTTGTCGCCAAGTGCTTGCTCATGGTGGTACTGTTGGGTCTCTGTAATTAACGTTTTAAAGAGTTCGGTCTAGACCTGCTCTATTTGGAAAGTGTCCTGAGATAACTTCTGTTATGAATTGGCGCTATACAAATAAAATTGAATTGAATTGAATTGAAATGTTTATTAGTGTGAATCCACTGAAAGCTCCTCACAGGATCCAGCTGCCAGCAGCAGTATCAGAGCTACAGAGAACATGTTGATGTTGAAGCTGAACTGATGTGAGCTCTTCTGTCCTCTCACTGACACACACACACACTTCACTTCCTTATGAGCAACACACAAGGAGGCTCATTTACATCCTGATGACAGTAAATCAGCTGACTAATGTGTATTTAAATAATTCAACATTAGGATGTTCAGGCATTTGTCGTCATCTCACACAGACAGAAGGTGGAACTTCTTCTCTTTTCTTCATCTCTGACAAACACACTATAGACTATTGATTCACTATTGACTCCAGTTTGAAGAATTAACATCTCCATGAAGTTGTGTAAAGACTCCTGACTCTAATGACTGATGCAGCTTTGATTGTGATAATGATCTATTAGTTAATTAAGTAGTCAAAGCTTTGAATTGTGTTATAAAGATTTATTTTGAAAGATAGAAAACAAGATAGTATCTTTATTATTTAAAACAGACGTTAATGTTAAAGTTGGTTCATTCTTAACAAATCATCTAAAACAAGTCAAACATTCACATTTACACTCAGATCAACAGAATATTTATTGTTCCCAGTCTCAACTACATATTTGAGAACACCAACAAAACTGTTGTTGTTTATTCTGTGAATGTGAAAATCAGAAAGAAAAGTTTGGACTTGTGTGTAGTATTTCTTTTAATCATAACTGGACAATGATTTCAGTAACCAGACTGTTGTGCTGTCTGGCTGTTTTGTGAGGAAGTGATTGTTACAGTCACAGATTTTAATGTGTTTAAATGGTTATTATTGTTTGTTGAATGATCGTCAGAGTATAAAAACAGTATGTTAGGATAAGGATATGACTGAAATATACATGTAGTATTTTTGTGATTGTTGTGCTGCCCTTGATCAGTGAGGAACTGATCATTGAAACATTTTATTTATTCAAAGGTTATTGTTGTTAATAATTGTTGGTTAATAATATTTCAGTTTTCATGTATTTCCTCAAATAACTGAAATTATTGTTTCTCTTAGTCCATCAGTCCAGTGAGGATGAGTACTGTAAGTTTTTGTACAGCGTTGCTCCTTCCTGTGTCACTGTGAGTCTCGAGCACAATAATAAACAGCAGAATCTTCAGTCTTCAGACTGTTCATCTGCAGATACACCTGCTGTCTGCTGTTGTCTCTGGAGATGGTAAACCGGCCTTGAACTGACTGAGAGTAGTATTTCTTGCTACCACTAGGTTGGCTGATAAGAGAAACCCACTCCAGTCCTTTTCCAGGAGCCTGTCTCACCCAGCTCATAGCATGGTCACTGAATGTGAATCCAGAGGTTGTACAGGTCAGTGTGTGAGATTCTCCAGGCCTTTTAACCACTGGTTCAGATTCTGTCAGAGTCTGACCATCAACACCTGTCAAGATAAAACAAATATACAGTGGTCAGTTGCTTTAAGCTAGAAGCATTTTGAAGACAACTTCAACTAAAGATCAGTGAAGATGTTCACCTGCCCAACAGATAGTTAACAGCAGCAGTCCTGTCCTATAGTCCATCATGTTAAACTGTGTGTCCACTGTTCTCTGTCATCCTCTCTGCAGTCAGATAAGTAGAGGTGGAAGACATCTGAGTTTTGCATTGACTCCTCCTCACTGTGTAGAACTGCATTTGACTTGGATCTCAGTTGATGTTTGGTGAAACTGCAGAATGAATGTTCACTGTACATTAGTCATTCCTCCAAGAGTCCCTCTTGCATGTTTCAGTATAATTTGTGCAACAGGTTGACAAACACATTGTTTAAGTTGGTTGACCCTTATTAAAGATTAATTAATAGTTTATTAATTTTACCATACACCTAAAGTGAGTATTTTTAATAACATTTTAATGTAAAGAAATATAAACAAAAAAACCCTAACAAATGTTGTTCATTATGTTACAATGTTGAATTTCTCACAATCTTCCCCCGATGTTGTTTCCCTCCTCGGCATCCTCGGTGTGTTTTCTCCAGAGTTCAGCTGGTAAATCAGCTGTTCTGTCCACTATGCTAACCGGCATTACTACATCAGCTGTTCTCCGGAGTAAACAAACTCAGCGTGCCTGACACTCATTTGTCCTCCTTTTGAGAAAATAAAAAAAATAAAAAAAATAATAACAACTTGACACATTACCTTGTTAGTTTAATTCTTATTGGCTAAAAATGTGTGTCAAAAAAGCTGTGCGAAAATAAGTAATTTCATTGGTTACATTTTCGTGACCTATAAACACATGGCTCATTTGAATATTCAAATAAGCCATGTGTTAATAGCCACAACAGGCGCTCACCCAGTCTGACTGTCAATCAAGCTCTCAGCAACAGAGAACTTAATGTCGGTTGTTGGACTGAAATTTTGAAAATGCTCATACTTATATGTATAGGTAAAGCCTTAGCAAAGCCTGAAAGAGAAGGTGCTGCATTTTTTTTTTTACCCTTTATCTATCCAGATAAAAACATTAAGAACAGTGTCTGTATGATGTTTATTAGACCTATGTAATCTGAATTGGAAGGGCACATTTTGATGAGCTGTATCTTGTATATTTATTATTAGCTATGCGGTATATGTATGCACCTTTATGTAATCTGGTGGAAAAGATAAGATGAGATAAGATATTCCTTTATTTGTCCCACAATGGGAAAATTCCAATGTTACAGCAGCAAAGTGGATATAGAAAAAACAGTATAAAAACAGTAAGAGTACGAAGATAAAAAAATAATTAAAAACACTATGTACAAGAGAAAAAACTAAGAATCCACAAACAACAGATAACACAAATAGTAGCAGCAGCAGTTGCACATGGGCAATATATTGCACAGTGAATATGGAATGGTATTGCACAGTAATTATTGCACATTGTTATTGTATATAAATATTATATATATTAATTAATTATTATTATTGATGCCGAGAATTTTAAGATATTAAAATGTAAAACGGGATCATACCAAACAAATATCTGCTTGCGTGTATGTATGACTGTGTATGCAAAGTGTCCTCCTTTCTGATGTGAAGGAAATGGTCGCCCTAGTGTCCCGGTGGAAGCGGCATTAAAACACGAAATAAAACACAAAAACTCTCTCAAACAACATCGTTAGAGAGGGCAGGACTTCAGAGAGTTACAGTGAAAAAATAAGAACGAACAAAAAGAGAATACAAGTTAAGAAGTTAAAAAAGCAAACTCAAAGGCGGGAGTAACGTAACAGGCAGCATGCAGCTTTCACGCACTACTGATCATCTTAATGTACATATATATATATATAAGAGCATTTCACTTGTATGTGTGAAAGCATTTCAGTAGTATTTATAAGAGCGTTTCGGTAGTGTATATAAGAGCGTTTCAGTTGTATGTGTGAGAGATTTTCAGTAGTGTATATAAGAGCGTTTCAGTTGTATGTGTGAGAGATTTTCAGTAGTGTATATAAGAGCGTTTCAGTTGTATGTGTGAGAGCTTTACAGTACTGTGTGCAAGCAAATTATCTTCCAGTTGTTTATGTGAGAGTGTTTCAGTAGTGTATGTAAGAGCATTTCACATGTGTTTGTGAGAGGTAATTCTGAATAATGTCCCTGACGGCCCCTCATAAATTTGCTCACTGACTGTACTTACTGACTGTATCTGCTTCAAACAGAAATACAGTGACAGCAGCGAGGACCATGTAAATAATATGAGAACTGTCTGCAGGTTTGCATTAAAGACATTTAACAGTTCCCATGTTTGCAGATGTTTGAAGACGACTTAGAGCTGAACTGAAACCAGTGAGACAAAATGCAGAACTTTGGTAGTTTGTGCATTTATAAGTTACTGTTTGTATTTATCATCACATTTTACTTACATGTGCAGTTGGGTCAGAAATATGTAACAAGCCACCATTTGCTTTTTAAAAATTCAGCTGTTTTATTGCAGTAAATTGTCAATATTCTCTCCACAACTTTTAGATATTTCTCTGCAGTTATAGTTAGTGAACATGACAATAATTATTTAATTCCTAGATCCTTTCTTGAGATATAACATATTTTTATATAAAGTATTTATTTCCATACACAATATATGTATTAAAGTAAACGCATTTTGTTTCCACCACTTTCTTGCTGTCTCTCATAAATGGTTGTAATGGAACAACTGAATGTGATGGAAACAATTATGAGTACTATGAATACTTAATGCTAAGGCTCCACCAGCCTGAAAGATGAGTACTGTAGGATTTTGTACAGCTGCTCAACCAACTCCAGTCACTGTGGGTCTCAAGCACAATAATAAACAGCAGAATCTTCAGTCTTCAGACTGTTCATCTGTAGATACACCTGCTGTCTCATTTCCTCCTCCGCTGGACACTGACTTCACTCACCTGAAATGAGAGCCAAGAGGAAGAGACTTTGTACAGCTGTCATGGTGGGAACCTGGCTGAGTCTGCAACTGCAAAGGTTATTATGAAGGATATATAATGTGCAGGCAGAATGGGTGGGGATTGTGTATCAGTGTGTGAATTTGCATTTTACCAGTCAGACATTTTGGAGTTACAGTGTTGATACATAAAGACTAAATCTGTAAGAGAAGGAGGAGTGCTGGAATCAGAGAGAGAAACAGAAACACCAAAAATAAAGATGTTCAGTCTTTCTCCTTTTCTCAGTGTCTTCAATTCAGTGTGAACTGTCTCCTAAAAACTTATTTTGATATTTTGCTTTCTCCTGACTGAGCGTGTTTTTTTTATATTAAGTATTAAGTATATTTCCTTCTATTATTTAATCTAATGTTATCAATATCCTTGTTTTACTGTAAGTCTTTTTGTAACATTTGAATAAATGTATGAATGCCTCTGTCCAATGCAATATACAAATAATCAAATATTGCTACTGATTATAAATCTTCATTAATATTAAAACTTTTTTCAAAGGTCCAGTGTTTAACATTTAGAAGGATCTATTGGCAGAAATGGAACATAATATCCATAGGTGTGTTTTTATTTGTGTATAATCACCTGAAAATAAGAAGAGATGCCACTTAATCCCACACATTGGTCGTTTATGATGTCATTTGTGTCATGATATAAGAACATCATTTCACGCATGAATGAATAAACAGTCGCTCTTTCAGTCTTCCAGCTGTTTATCAAAGGGTGTGAGTATAAAACTCTAGTTCAGTCCAGGGTTTGAGTGTCTGTCAGTTGAGATCAGTGAGATAAGCAGATATGAGAGTCTCCTTATAGTGACAGAGGAGAGAGAAACTTGACACTGACTGCCATCTAGTGTCTTTATAACGGGAACTGCAACATTATTTTTCACTCTCATAATTGTGACTTAACCAAATCATATAAACTTTAACCTTAAATCCCACTGATCCAAGAGGTAAAATTGTTGTCATATCTCAAAGGGGCTTTATTCTATCATTCCAATTTTTAATGATTTTATTAATCAATTTTTATTTATTGACTTCATATTATTCATTGTATATATTTATGTTATTTTATGTTATTTTTAACTTAATTTGTGCCATGGGTTCTGATTTAAAGTATCACTTTAGTAATACCCAATATGCCAGTTAACTGTAGCTTTCCCAAAATAGTAATTATCTGTTTCTTTTCAGATGACATTAACTGCATAACTAATGTTTTCAAAAGAAAGTTAACATTTTTTCTGGCTGTCCCTTGCAGTAGTCTATTCTTGGCTCCAAAGGGACCCCAGTCAGTACTCCTGATATGTTCGGATAAGGGTTAATATGCCTGAAATGTGTACATGTAATATTTATTTGGTCCATTTTTTGATTGAATGATTTCAACTGATTGTTGTGCTGTACTTGGATGTTTTGTGAGGAACTGATCATTAAAACATTTTATTTTTTTTAATGATTTCTGTTGGTGGTTAATAATAATCTTTCAGTTTTCAAAACAACCACAACAAAAGAAAAAAGCCCAATAAAGATAAGTACTGGAGGTTTTTGTACAGCGTTGCTGCTTCCTGTGTCACTGTGAGTCTCGAGCACAATAATAAACAGCAGAATCTTCAGTCTTCAGACTGTTCATCTGCAGATACAGCTGCTGTCTGCTGTTTTCTCTGGAGATGGTAAACCGGCCTTGAACTGACTGAGAGTAGTATTTGCTGCTACCACTGCCACTGTTGATATAAGCAATCCACTCTAGTCCTTTTCCAGGAGCCTGTCTGATCCAGGCCATCCAGTAGCCAGCAAAGTTAAATCCAGAGGCTGTACAGGTCAATCTGTGAGATTCTCCAGGCCTTTTAACCACTGGTTCAGATTCTGTCAGAGTCTGACCATCAACACCTGTCAAACAAAGAAAGCTATTCATGTCATATGTTACATTGGCAGCACAGAATGAAAATATGTCAACTAAAGTTCAGTGAAGATGTTCACCTGCCCAGCAGATAGTTAACAGCAGCAGTCCTGTCCTATAGTCCATCATGTTAAACTGTGTGTCCACTGTTCTCTGTCATCCTCTCTGCAGTCAGATAAGTAGAGGTGGAAGACATCTGAGTTTTGCATTGACTCCTCCTCACAGGGAGGAGAGAACTAGACTGGACTGGTGATATTTTTATTTTTATTTGTCGAACTCAGAGGAAATTTTACAAAAAATCAATACTTTGAGTTTCTCCTTTTGACTTTATTTTTTACGGTGGCCGTGAAACGTGCAAAAAAATGCAAAAGGCCCTATATACCGCCAGTGTTTGCCTTGTCCGTTTGGGGCTACTGTAGAAGCATGGCAAATACAATACAAATAAAATAAGGTAGATAATATTTATAAATATTAATTAATATTATTGTTATTTTTTTAAAATGGAATGAAAATAGTGTGAAATTGAATTCAGTGATCAATTATTCTATTAGAATGTGTTACTGGTTGGCCACATATGTTTCTAGGTATTTGTACAGGTCTGTTGGTGGTTTGTATCACTGTGGGCTGACGTACACAGTAATATACAGTTGTGTCCTCAGGCTGCACATTCTGTCCTGTTAGAGTCACAGAGCTAGTAGAAATGTGTGTTTTGTAAAGGAACTTGTTCTTCAGAGCATTGTTTTGAGAAAAGCTACTTCCACCCCACCGATGCCAAATCCATTGCATTGGTTTTCCTTCACACTGTCTGATCCAACCTGTTGCATAGCTGTTATCAGTCATAGAATAACCAGAGACCTGACAGGTGATGGTGAAGGACTGTCCAGGCTGCACAACCACTGAGTCTGACTGGATGAGATCAATACTGTTCACACCTGTGGAAACAGAAATCAACATTATCTCCATCATTCATCTGACTATTCAGTGTTTCTAATGTGTTTATTAGTGTGAATCCACTGAAAGCTCCTCACAGGATCCAGCTGCCAGCAGCAGTATCAGAGCTACAGAGAACATGTTGATGTTGAAGCTGGACTGATGTGAGCTCTTCTGTCCTCTCACTGACACACACACACACACACACACACACACACACACACACACACACACACACACTTCACTTCCTTATAAGTAACCTTTATTTGCATCTTGAATAATCTTTTATTTAAATCAATTAAACACTGTCGTCTCAAGAGACCAAGAAAGGTAGAGAGAAAAGAACGAAAAAAACTTTTTAAGAAAGAAAGATTTACTCTAAGATAACATTTGCATATGTGCTGTTACATTAAACTACTAATGAACTAACATTTATCTGCTCATTAAAAATTATAAACACAATCTCATATTCCAAATAGAAATATTGTGTGAGTGTAACTTTGTTTTTCAACCAGTTTATCAGTGTTTTTAGGTTATTTCTTTTCATTTTCATTTTCTATTTTTTAATGCAACACCAACCGATTAAATTGATTTGAATGTAGGATTTAGCTGTCTTCAAAATCTGTTATTTTAATTTTAAAAAATCTATTGTTTAATCAACAACAGTAATTGTAAGTATAAGTATAAGATATTTAGGAAAACATTTTAAACTTCTCAAGGAAAAACAGATTTAAAGAAACAATGAAAAATGTGATATAATTAATGACATTAATTAATTAATGTTGTTATCACGCTGATAAATACAAATTGAAACATCACAGCAATGATGAATGTTTAATTTAGAGCTCCTTTAAATTTGGTCCATTTGGAAGCCATCAGTCTACATTGAGTCAAGAAAGGCTAAGATAATGTTATTGTTCTTACAGATACATTTCTGCTCAGCCTCACTAGAAGAGATGATCATCCTGATGAGAGAGCAGCACAGTGTGGAGATTGATCAAGGACTCTGAATTCGGGGTTATTTTAAAAACAACTTGAACAAAGTGGTTTTATTTTCTATCAGTGACTGTCTGTAGTGGTTTCTGTACGGCTCTGTGGCTTCCTGTGCCACTGTGGCTCTCAAGTACAATAATAAACAGCAGAGTCTTCAGTTGTCAGGCTGTTCATCTGCAGATACACCTGGTCCACGTTGTTGTCTCTGGAGATGGTGAAGCGATTCTGGACTGATGTGGAATAAGCTTTAGTGCTTCCACTCGGAGCAGAAATGTAGGCAACCCACTCCAGTCCTTTTCCTTCAGCTTGTCTGATCCAGCCGATATCAGCATCATTATCTGATATTCCTGCATATGTACAGGTCAGTTTGTGGGATTCTCCCGGCCTCTTCACCACTGGTTCAGACTCGGTCAGAGTCTGACTGCAAACACCTGGAGAGAACAGCAGTTTGATCAGAACTAAGCCAAACAGAAACCTTGACACAGAAAAAGAAGAGGACAAAATTTTGTATTCACCAGAAATCAGTGATACCATCAGAAACAGTATACGTGCTGTTAAAGTCATAGTGAAAATGTGTTGTGTGTCTGGATGATGGGTTGCTGTGTCTCCAGTTTGCAGTGAGCTAAATAATAAAGATGGAAGAGATCCAAATTTGCATTGACTCCTCCTCATGGTGTTGAAAAAATAAAAAGGATAACAGTGATATTTATTGACTGAAGGGATCTGATCTACTTACTGAGGGAATACTTTTTGTTGGTTGTATAAAGATATTCATTAGAGGAGTGTTTGCCCAATGTTTGCGTCTTATGTGTTTTTAATTGAGGTTTCAAGGCTGGTTGGACAAGACACAGACCATAAATGGAAACGACTAATATTTGGTGCCAGATTCTGAGCATACAGTATGTAACATACAGACAGTATAAGCAACATATGATTTGGATAGTATCCATCTTCCAAACCACTTGTATTCTTCATGGTCTCAGCTTTTCTTAGCGCACACTGAACAAGGCTGAAACATGTTTAGAGACACACACATTCACACATATAACACATGAAAAAGTTGGAATAGCCATTTTACCTAAATTGCATATGTTCTGACAGAAAAAAAACTTTATAACATATAACATTATTAAACATTTATGTTCCATATTATTATTAACATTAACATTACTGTGCTCAGCATTAAGAACACAGTTGGTCCTTGACTGCCCTCTACAGTTCTAAAGGAGGGACTGCAACTATTTTCCATTTGAACATAATGTAGAGCACAACTCGAGCACAATAATAAACAGCAGAATCTTCAGTCTTCAGACTGTTCATCTGCAGATACACCTGCTGTCTGCTGTTGCCTCTGGAGATGGTGAATCTACCCTGGACTGACTGGGAGTAATAGATCGGAGTACTAGCTGTGCCTATATATGCAATCCACTCCAGTCCTTTTCCAGAAGCCTGTCTGATCCAGGCCATACGGTAGCTGCTGAATGTGAATCCAGAGGTTGTACAGGTCAATCTGTGAGATTCTCCAGGCCTTTTAACCACTGGTTCAGATTCTGTCAGAGTCTGACCATCAACACCTGTCAAACCAAGAAAGATATTCATGTCATATGTTACATTGGTAGTAAAAATGAAAATATATCAAGTCAAAATAATTGAAGATGTTCACCTGCCCAGCAGATAGTTAACAGCAGTAGTCCTGTCCTAGTTTTGCATTGATCCACTAAACTGAAAACCACATTTATTCTAATAATACAAAAATGTTCTTTAAAATGTGTAAATGTCAAGATTGCTTGACTGTGGGCCCAAAATGTTCATTTCCTGAGATTATAGTCTCAGGGCCAGTTTCACAGACAGGGCTTAGATTAAGCACGGAGTAGGCCTTAATTTATAATTAAACTGGAACATTTATGTAGTTTTCATGAACGTGGCTTAAATTTTGTGTAGTTAGTCAGAGACTATGAGGTCCTGGAGTGAGGTAAGCAAGATTAATGAAGAACACCATTGTTAAGTCTCATTAGGTTAAGTGTAAGCACATGCTGTTGGTCTAATGGCACTCAGAACCCAGAATGAAAATAGAAAACATCTTTACTGGTGAGAAAACAATGGCCATCATGTTAAACTGTGTGTCCACTGTTCTCTGTCATTCTCTCTGCAGTCAGATAAGTAGAGGTGGAAGACATCTGAGTTTTGCATTGACTCCTCCTCACAGGGAGGAGTGATGTAGATTGGACTTGGTCATCAGCTGTTAATAAAACAGCATACACATTTTCAAAACAGCCATAGTTACATTGGAATTATTATCATGACACAATATCTCGACTTCATAATGAATAACTTTAGAATAATATTATATTATGTTATATTTCATTTATAAACAGTAGAAGTATTCAACAATTTGCAAGTTTTATTGGAAAAGACCTGAAATGTAATCAGAATCTTAATGGATATGTCACGAATCCCTGGCCGTGATGACTGTTAGGGTGTTTTGTGTTGTCTTGTGTTGTCTTGTGGTGTTTGTGTCACTCTTCTAGCAGTGCTCGGGGGGGGTCTATCTCTGGCTGCTCACACACCTGGCTGAGGTCATCACCACACCTGCTCCTCATCAGTCTTCAGCAGTACTTAGGGAGCAGCCACACATCCAGTCAATGCTGGATTGTTGTGAAGTATTGAGTGTGCTACTGCTTTCCAGCCAGTTATTTATTGTTGCTACTGTTTGTTGCCTGTCTGCTTCTGCCTGCCTGAGCCGTTCTCTTGCTGTCTGTTTTTGTCTGCAACTAACCCTGTCTCTCTGCCTCAGGAATCATTCCCGGGACTCAGCTCTGGAACCCTGTCCACTCAGCCCACGCCTCCTGTAAGCCAGCCACTGGATCCCCACACTCCAGGTCTACCAGCCAGCCACTCTCTGGATCACCCCCACCTCTGGACTCCCACTCTCGCCTGCCAGCTTCCCCTTTTTTTCACTATTCACTCGTTGTCTAATAAACCGCTTAAACTCAACCTCTTGTCCGGTCTGCTTCTGGGTTCCCCTCAGAACCCTGACAGGATACTGTTACGAGTATAGTATAACCAAGTAAGAATTTGGTAAAGCCACCATTATATACTGGGTTGATGGGCAGGTCCACCCCGTAGATGCCAAAGTCTCGGCCGTGCTGTCCTGTCCGATTTCCACATCTAGGTGTGGACTACAGCGTTTCCTACGCATGGCTGGTTATTACCGGTGTTTCTGCAAAAAAACTCTCTGTAGTGGTTGCTCCTCTTACCAATTTGTGTAGCCCTAGTGTTCCTGTGGTGTGGAGTAATGACTGTCAATATGCCTTTGATGCAGCAAAGTCTCTTCTCTCTTCTCTGCAGTGCACCTGTCCTCACTGTGCCTAACTTCTCTCTTGCTTTCAAACTAGTTGTTGATGCTAGTGCTTCAGGAGCTGGTGCTGTGCTGCTGCAAGATGTGTGTGCCATCCAGTGATTGGTATGAAGCTGAGCATAAGTTCAATCAGGAAGACTATGCTGCTCATTCATTTTTTTAATATACTGTTTTTGTTAATCCCCTTTAACAAACAGTTTGCACTTGGGTGTGGGGTGTTACAAGTATAGTGTGGTGTTTAGTTTTGCCTCTGCTCTGTGTGCCTCAGACTGTTTCTCTCTTCACTGTAACAGTGAACTGGTGTTGAAATCATTAGTGGTCTGAGGGCTCCTCCTCTGGTGGCTTCATGTTACAAGTGTTCAGGCACTGAGGGGTTTTTGTTCAGGTCTACTGATGGTTTGTGTTATTGTGTCTCTCTCTGGCACAGTAATACACAGCAGAGTCTTCAGGCTGCACATTCTGTCCGTTTAGAGTCACTGTTTTGCTAGAAGAGTCTATGGAGATACTGAACTTGTTCTTCAGTGAATCTTTGTAGTATGTGTTCCATCCATCACCTGCCCTTCCAATCCACTCCAGTCCTTTTCCTGCAGGCTGTCTGATCCAAGCTGTGGCATAGCTGCTCAGAGAATAAGAGACCTGACAGGTGATGGTCAGACGTTGACCTGGCTGCACAGTCACAGAGGCTGGCTGCGTCAACTGTTCACACTTCACACCTGTTAAAAAAGAAAATGTTTTGTAACAAATGATCAAGTTATACTGCAAAAGAAGAACTGTTGACTTTGACAAATCCAGAGAGACTCACATCCAGCTGCCAACAGCAGCAGCAGAGCTACAGAGAACATAGTTTATGTTGAAACTGACGTGCTGTGAACTCCACTGACAGCCTGATGGGAAGTTTTTATAGCTGAGTAACAAGGAAGGTCACTGAGTTTGCATAGAATCAAACATATGAAGCATCAATGTTGGTCTAACAGGAGCCAATAGAAGAGTCTGTTGACTGTTTTTATATCTGCAGAGTGAAAACATGTCTGAAATCACCTCTGCTTTACATATGATATTTTAACTTTATTACACACTCAACTGTAACATTTTGAAAGTGAAACTTTACATTTACAGTTACAGTTCAATAATAAAAAACTGTAACCTTTGCCTTTTTTTTCTTTCCTATAAACTATTGCCGTCTAAATATTTATTTTAACAACAATTTGGTATTAAAACATTATGTAATTTTTTTTATAATTTCAAACAATGACAAGGATAATTATTCTCTATGTATTAACATGAATGATGGATAATGATATTCATTACAACCAGCACTGCATTAACAATGATGATGTGCATCCATTGAAACCAAAGGAGCAATCGGAATATTGCTTTCTGTGCCATGTTGACAGTGTGTTTATCATGTTTTCAATTGATTGCAGTGTTTTACTGCACCATTAGTTTATGCGTTTATTCACTCACATATTGTATCCGCTGCAAGCAGAAATATAGTGACAGCAAGGATCATGTAAATTGTATGTAAACTTCAGTGTGATGCTGCTGGTTTGCATAAAAATTACTGGACCTGAGGACATTAATCACGTGAGACAGTGCAGGGTCTATCAGCCCACTGAGGATGAGAAAAGACAGTGTTTGCCTAAAAATCCCAGAAAATGTTTGTTACTGCAGGATTAGTTGTCCATCCATCTTCAGTCAGTCTCATAAGCACAAGAACACACAGCAGCCCCTTCAGGCTTCCTGCTGCTCATCTTGAGATCTGCCTTATAATCAAGTTAACACAGGACTTTGACTTTCCATCTGATTGGGTGTAAAATGGCGCACGTTCTGCTGCAACAGCACACACTGTGACTCTGCTTTGTTTCCCCCATCTTCTCCTTCTACTGTATCAAAGTATCATCCAGCCCATCCTCATATACTGCTCCTCCTGTTTTTACAATATGCTAACTGTCACCAAAACAAAGGGGCGCACTGAGTGTGTAACCTGTCATGTATTATTTATTTGATTGTTTGTTTTGTTTTGTTCTGTAGATTTGTTAATTGTGGATAGCGTGTTTCTTTGTTGAGTGTATG